ATGGTCAATTCAAGAGTCCTTTAAAGTGATCAGCCGATTGTTTCATTTGTTTCTGCTCCTTGGCGATCAAGTTCCCTTGGACATCTTTTATTGGTTTGATCATCTAGGTTGATCTCTTCCCGGATAGAGACTAGGTTACCTAATTTAGTGTCCTGAGGTCTTTTACCTGAGCCCTGTCTTTTCTGCTTCATTTGCCAACCAGTGTGTCTTTTGTCTTCCACCTAACTCACTCTTCTTCACTTCCATCTTTATTCAGTGCAGTGTACATTGAAATCAGCTGCTCCTTCTGTTGTCCATCTTCGCAATGAGTGGTCATCTTTTCTTTCCCCATCCTCCTCTCCTCGTTAGCTTCAATTTGGGTGTCCATTGACAGCCATCGCATGTCTCCTCTCTTCCTTCTTCCTAGATTATTCGTACACGTTTCCTCAAATATCGCTTTCAGAGAGTTCCAATGTTCTTCCACAGAGGATTCCTCAGTGGTGCCACGTAGTGTGTCCGACTTCGCTCTAATCTGATCTGTAGCGAAGGCATCATTTGTACATTTGTCCTTCAGTTTCTGAATGTTGAACTTGAATTGTGGTCTGTCTGAATTTGTTTTTATGGATTTCAGCTTCACATTGAAGGTTCCTTGAACTAGGTGATGGTCTGAGCCCACATCTGCTCCCCTTCTCGACTTTGTATCCAGTACGCTGCATCTCTACTTCTTTGAGCAGCATTGAAATGGAGTCTACCTGGCTTGTGTTGCGTCCTCTCCGATTCGAGCATAGAATAAGATTGTTATTTGTATTTTTTTGTATTTTTGATATATTTTCTGTGTTGATATTTCTCTATCGGTTTGAAAGAGTTAGGGGTGTGAGGTTGCTATCCCCACGCCCAACTCTTTCTCTTTACCCTTGGCGTGGGACTGGCTAGAAAACTAGCTATCCAGTTAACTAGGCGAGGTTACATATGAGTAAAATATGACTTAGATCAGAGATTGTGTATAAATGTTACCCTACAGAAGAATTCAATAGTTTCCCAAAATTAATTTGCAGATTCCATTCATTTTATAATATCTAGACCTTTTCTTTAATACTAATATTAGCAGTAGGTAGTAACGGAATCATAAATGTCATGTGAGACCATTTGGGAATTATTTATTGATTTTCATAGCTGATTTTTTGTAAATCCCATAACTAATCATGAAGGATATTTTAGTTCTATGATGTAACCCACGAATAGTTGTCAAATATGATCACGACTGTACATGACTGAATAGTCATTATTTTATGGCAGTTGTCATGTCATACTACAAAAAAGGGGGAATTCATGTTAAAAGAACCACATGTTAAAATGTCTTTTTTCTTGTTTTATGTAATAAGATAGCATAAGGGATTAAGAGATAACTGTTTATTGCTCCAAACATGTTAAGTAACTGTTGGGTCAACTCTCAGTTCACCCAGCTCTTATAAAAACAATGAAAAAAGCGAATCTAGATCTGGTGAAGACGCCAGATGACAATATTTAATTTTTTTAGATTTACAGCTTGATTCCACACTCTATTTTCGGTACAAGTATGGAATTTTCAGCGTGGATATCGGTAGCCCAAATTTCGCAGGCCGACCATAGATATCAGATGTGCGCCGGCATAGGCTCGAACCCCGGACCATGTGCATGATCGGCGAGTGTCCTAACCACTGTGCCACCGACGCACAGTGTAATCCATCATATCTTTACCTCCTAAGTGTGGTTTGTAAGGTTTAGAAAAACAATCCTGAAAGTGGAAAAGAAAATTTATTTTTTGGAGCTACTCTTATGAGAACAACAGAAGTGTGTTTCACTAGCGTGTATTAATACAGAATGAAGAGATATTAGGGATTCCCTAAGAAGCATCTACCTTCTCTCTCACCTTACAGTTACGCAACTGATTACATAATTTAAAAGAATAATAGACATGATATGTTGTCTAACTCGAATATTCCAGCTCGGTTTTACATTCTGTTCACCAGTATACATTTTGAAAAGTACCAAGCAACAAAAGTAAGCAGTACGTCCATATCAGTGTTAGGTAAGTTTTTGCACTTTTTAATGAACATATAAACAGAACTTAAGGCACAGAAGGGTAACTGAACTCTTTATACACTTTTATAATTAAACTTCATTCACTAAAGAGAATACAAGATGGTTTGCTTAAATCACTGAGCTGCCGAATTCTTTTCCATCCAGTAAAATGAACCATATTAACTGAATTTAATATTACTACAACCATTTGTCGTTGTGAATCGTAACATACTCTCAAGCTTATTTTTAGAAAGACTTCAACCTCCTTCTACGAATTCTTTTGGAATGACAGAGACGAAAAACTTCATGGCGTAATGGGGCATTCTTTGGATGGATTTATACTGTTTCAAGTGATGCATTATCGGTCAATATCTTATTTGAAGATATCGCACAGGGATTAAATACCTTTTGATAGAATTAGCTGAAAATTATATACTGTGTTAAAGAGGAAACTTTCAAAATGCACTAACCAACGGCTGCATCTCGTCCAGAAGCACGTTCAACAATCCCAGAAGTCCCTGTGATCACCATTCTTCCGACAGAAGCAAAATTAAGCTAATGAATTCCAGAAAAGCAGCAGGACCGGATGGCGTTCGCTCTGAAACACTGAAAACGGGTCCAGATATGGATATGCAGACCCGAATACTGCAGAAAATTTTAAAAGAAGCAAAGGTGTCCAGTGATCGGAAAAAGCTACCGTGTCAAACTACCAATGGAGGTTTACGTAGACTGCTACAAAACTGGAGCGGAATCATGATGTCCACACTAAGCAAAATGCTAAGTCACTTCATCCTCGAGAAAATACAACATGCACTGAATGCAGAACTCCGACTGGAACAAGTTGGATTTAGGAAAGTATAATTGTATGTGGATAAAATCTCAACGCTATGCATCATCATTGAACGGATCATAGAATGACAATCAAATCTCCACCTCAAATGCATCTACCCTGAAAATGACTTCTACAGTCATCACCACGAAGTAATTTGGAAAACGCCTCAACATTACACAGTGCACTAAGTCTTCGTTGGCGTCAGTCACCAACTACGTGATGATACCACATGTCAAGTGACCAAAAACGGTAAACTCGGCCAAGACTTTTAAGTGAATACAAAAGTAAGACAGAGCTACCTACTATCACCCATGATATTCTTGATTGTGGTAGATTGGATGACGCGAGAGACCGTAGGGAACGGATACTCAGGAATACGTTCGACTGATCGGCAGCTACTGGAAAATATGTATCCTGAGTATGATTTACCTCTAATGCCATAGATACTCAATGATCTACAGACTAGAAACAACAATTTGGCAGAAGGAGTAGTCAGTAAAGACAGGAGTTCATGTGAGCATAGACAGGACAGAGGTGATGAGGATACTGAATGAACAACAACGAGTGATAGTCAGTGCCAGTGGGACAAATCCGAAGAGGGTTACTTCCTTCAGTTGTATGAGAAGAGTTGTTTCAACTACAAATGGGTGGCAGGAGGGATATCAAAATGTGTGATTGGCAGAGCAATGCAGACCTTCATCATTCTGATATCCGTTTGGAAATCTTTTGAATACAGCATAAAATCAAACTTATGTTTTTTAACACTATATGGGTCATAGACTTTGGTCACAAAAACCATTTCAACAGGCTTCATAATCTTATTGACAGTTGCCTCTGTTGCCTCCATGCTCAATATCAGATGGCAGTCCAGTAAGCCATGGCAACAAGCAACTCTGATAACAAACCAAACAAAGCAACACCGCTCTTTAGGCCCTTGAGTGGAATTTAAATGAAAAGCGATGAGTTGGGAGTCCGAATGTGATATAGCGGAGATGATCTGAGGAGTCTGTAAGAGCTTACGGACAATTGTGAAGCCAGCCTAAGGGGACTGCAGGGAACAGGGTGAAGTGCAGATGTGCTGTTGAGACCCTTAGTTCCCCTCAGAACCCAAAAGAATTATTATTCTAACCATTAAATTGTATCATCCTAAAACCGCAATGCATTTCTTCTCTACCACAACTTTAAATAAGACTTATCTCACCTTTAAGATAATCCGCTTTCTGTATACTGAATAAAATCTTCAGCAATACTTCAAAGATCCAGCCTTAAAACTGATCTGTTCATTCGCTTGAATCTCAGATATTTTGCACTTCACCAGTTAGGTTTGTGTAGATTACAGTGATTTAAACATAGAACACAAGTGTGTAAAATAAACAGGCGGCGAACGTCTACTTTCTTCCAAATTTTCAATCTAATATCCCCAAGTTTCAAAAGAGCAAACATCCCGTTTCAATAAGTAGAAGTGAAATCAATAGATTCACCTCAAAATTTTCATAAAATAACTATAATTACTTTAATAAAAAAGTCTAAAAAGGTTTTCAGCGAAAATCTATCTTTTTATTTATAAAAGCGTTCAAGGAAATAGAAATTTTTTTACAGAAAAGAAATTAAGAATAGGTCAAGCAAGAACTAATGAAAATAATTCTGAGAAAATAAAAAAATACAGGAGTTTAAATACATCATCATTGTTGGTAGTATTGACAATGTTAGTGGAAGTAGGAGCATCAGTAGAAATATGTGCATATTGATTTCATCTGATCTGTTTTTTCATTCGCTTGACTCTATTGTACTGTTTGTATTTGCATATTTGCATGTGCAGTGTGAGTTTGTCAACAGTTGAAGAAAGTGTAAAAAGATACTTAATTTACATCAAAAAACAATGTGTACAAATATTTTCCTGTTAACTGAAACGATTGTCCGACAGAAAAAACTTAAAGTTACCCAGGATCTTTTGATTTCAATTTTTGTACAGAGGCATGTTTTTTTATCTATTTGACATGTGTATAGCTGATAATAGTGTGTATTACTTGAGCATGTGGAATTTCCACAAAGAACAGCTTTTTTTATTATGGACAGTAGTGTGAATTAACATTAGAGGTAGACTGATTTCATTGAAAAGTTTTCAAATCCATGCAGCAATTACAAAGTTTAGCTAGAATAGAAATCAAAAAGGGGTAAAAATGATTATTAGCACGTTTGTCAAAATAAAACATCGAATTCATTGGTAAAATTAGAGTTAATTTTCACTTTTTTCGGTGAATTCAAAATTATTTTCAAGTTTGGACTGGATAATAAATGGATTACGGTATAGTACTGACCCCATACTCTGAGGAAACCATCAAGTAACATCGCTAGACAAGCCCTCGAGTGGAACCCGAAAGGTCATCCAAAGATGACTTGGAGGAGGTCATGTGAAGAGGAGATGAAAGCATGTGGGCAGACTTGAAGTGGGGTGAAAAGGTTGGCAGAAGACCGAGCGCAATGGAGACGCGCAGCTGAAGGCCTATGTTCCTCTAGGAATTAAAGGAAATAATAGTAATAGCACTGACCACTACCTCAGCGTAAAGTACAACCATCATGTGGTTAGGAAGTTAGAAGTCTGTTACCTAGATAAGATTTTTAATGTTTTAAGCTGTCACAGCTATCGTATGACGTCAAGTGTAAACAACCAGCCGTCAAGGCTGAAGTATGTCGAGTGAGACATGATGTCAGAGTTAACTGGCTAAAAGTTGAGCATTTAGACCAACGAGTTACAACTTCACTCCTCAAGTATCTTGTGATTTAATAGTTGACCTGTTAGACAAACTACAGTAATTACACGGAATATTCGCTATTGTTTTGACTGACTTGGGGAACTACTATCTTCCATTCGAATTTTAATAAGTTAAAAAATATCTCTCTTCAGTTTATATCGTTTGATCATTGTAACATTGTAACATTTCAGTTCAGACCATGGAAGTTTTATCATATCTTGTATCCCTTTAGATATAAATAGACAGTAGTCCTGGTCCACATAGTTTCACCTCAGGAGATCCACTATAGCCAAAATTTGTTCTGATCAGCACTGATCTAATAGAAGTGAGTAAAAATAAAGTGAAAAAGAGGCTGCTAATACTCATTAAAATTCACGTGAGATAGACGAATAACGTTAAAGTATAACATATTCAAATGTCTCTCGCTTACTACCCTGCGCAGTACATCTAAAATCCCTTGAATTCATCCCGTCTTGTAAACAGAGATTCTGATGCTTATCGTTTTTATGTTAATGAATAAAACATGACATCCTGTAACTATTATATATCCAGTTATATGGAAGAAAATGTCAGATGCCTGTTATAACTAGTAAGTCCAGCAACCTACTAGCAAAATGAAATAACATTTTTCACAGTTTCTTAATATAAACTAAAATTTAAAATGTTATACTCCATGGATTTCATGGAATTTCAGGATTTACTTTAATACATTTCACATGTTTCAGTGAAAAAAACCTACATATCCCTATAGAAAAAGGTGACATAAAAGCAAAATTCTCAGATCATTGTAAATAATGACAGATAAATCTTGTCACAAGAAAATAATTTACTTATTCTACCATCTATTTACTGCAAGTGTTTGTGCTATTTCCTCTCGCTAATTCTCTTTCTTAATAACGGACGATCACACTTACTGTATATCAAGATATGACTGATGATTGCTTCTATATGATTTGCATGAAATTATCTTATTTTTGCCGGCCATCTTTCATGAATACTGTCATCTTTATTATGCAAATTTTAATAATCTCTTCTATCCCGTTCTTTTTTCCATAGGAGATAATATCACGACAACAGTCAGACAACGCGAAGGTTGAACTTGTTTTGAGTCACACGTTTTGTTGTTCAGAACTCTTAAACTATATCAAAATATTTCATCTTGCGGCTTTTATTTAAAAAAGACTGTCTTCTTAGCCATTAATAAAGGTAGACTAGCTTTATTCATCTGTATTTATCAGTGTTTTTTGATCCATATATACAGTAACCACATAATAAAAGTGTATCGTGTCATCCTTAACTTTAGTCTTATGAGACAAATCAGGTGTAGAAAGAGTGAATTAGTCTTCTCAAGGTAAATTAAGTCTAAACACTGACTAATGAGTACATTTACTAGTATAATATTGCCACTACTACCTTATTCTCCTACCTACTCTCTTTTTAACTGAATAATATTTGATTGGTTGGGGGATTTCATCATGAGTTGACATAAGTTAGAGAACCATTGGAAAACCTGGAATTCTTCAGCAGCACACAAATACTCGGTTTCTAACCCAGGACATTCTGGTTACAAGACCAGAGACCTTGTAGACCATTAAGCCACTGGGACGCTATCCAATGGCCCATGATTAATGTTTCCCTACAGTACGAGTGCATCGGTGGCACAGTGGCTAGGACGCTCGCCGACCATGCACATGGTCCGGAGTTCGATCCCCGGCCGATGCACTCCTTTACCTCTCTAAGCTAGAAATAATCCTGGTAAAGAGGAAAGGTTGGGCATGAGGCTAGCAACCCCATTCTGTAAAATTGTACACTACTGCGGAAACCTCAAGCCACTAGCCTGAGGCCCTATGTTCCACTTGGAACGTGAAGGCAAGAAGAAGAATAATTTCAAATACTTTAGTTTGACACTTAAGATAGTTACTATGACCAAAAACCTGACATGAACTTAATACAACAGAATAATAATTTTTTGCACCTTATTGAGTGAGAGGAAGTAAAAATAAAAGTAATTTGAAATGTCACTTTAGTATTAATCTTCTGAAGTGTAGTTAAATAGGACCATATACATGAGTAATTTTTACAGTTTTGTATGAGACACCGAGAATCTACGACTTTATGGTATACTGACATTAACTTTCAGCTAGTCTGGTATAATGCAAAAATTTATACGTGACGGTATAGACTACAGATTGATTGACATGAGGAGTTTGCAAATTATGAATTTGATTTGACGAACAACACCACGTATCTACCTGTCTATCTATTGATAGTATCAAGCAGAAGATTACACATTTTGATCTGAATAATTTCAGTTTCCAAATAAAACTGACGGGATTTCACCCAAAACTGTGAAACACTTCAAACTGTAAATATGGTTTTTATTGTATAGTGTAAGTTAGTCGAGAAATATCATTATTTTATTGATTTTCAAACTAAGAGTCATAGCTATCTTGAGTTAAGCATATCATCACACTTGTATGAGTGCCTTCACAGATGTAAATATAGTACACATGCCACAGCAGATCACTAAAGTCTACCGTATATAGTAAGCAAATGGCTAATCGAATGTTCAACTCTACTAGAAAGCTTAGCTGAAAGTTTATTTGAATACCATAACGTTTTATACTTGATAGTGATTTATGAAAACGTCTCTTTCATACGAAAGGTTGAATAAAACACTGATTAGATTCAGGATTCCTCTCCACACACTTCATGCTAATTTATGTGTGATGAACATGGTCTAATCTATCGTCAAAAGACAGTAGACTTCAATTAGTACACAAGTGAACTCATAATCTAATGAGATGTAACAACATTTTAAAAATATTTGATCTGTATAAGAAAAGTAATACTAAAAATACTGATTACTTTTCTCTGCATCTGGTCCTAGATTAACCTCTCAACTAACATGTCAGGGTGCGTCGGTGGCACAAAGGTTGGGACGCTCGCCGACCATCCACATGATCCGGAGTTCGATCCCCGGTTGATACACTCCTTTACTTCTCTAAGCTATAAATAATCCTGGTAAAGAGGAAAGGTTGGGCATGAGGCTAGCAACCCCATCCTGTAAAATAAAACACTGCTACAGAAACTTCAAGCCACTAGCCTGAGGCTCTATGTTCCACTGGGAACGTGAAGGAAAAAACACCACATATCAGATGTATTGATACGTTTTGTTTTCTCAGAACTTCACCTTAGTTGTGTATTTATTCTATCATTTCCCTAGCTAAAATTTAACCGATCTAAGATCATAAAAGTTTGTGAAACAAAATGTCAAGGGGAATAATTCGTAATCTACATTAAACGTTAATAAATAATTGCACTTATATTTTACAATCATTGTGAACCAGGTAATGCGCATAACATTAAATTCTTGAAATTAAGTATGTGAAAACAGATGATTATGTATTAAAGTACTCAGAGCATAATGTTAAATATTTCGTCTACTTTCTGATCATAGTTCTACTTACTGTGTTTTTACGTTTACAGTAACCGTAGTACCGGATTTGTCAAGATTCGAAAAGTCGCAAAAAGAAAATACAATCATGAACGTTTTTCAAGTGATAAATAGTCAGAATACTCTGATTTGCATAAATGTCAGTTTTGTTGGTATATATATATAGTGACTTTAAAATCACACTTATCACTTCACATTTGAATTGTAAATGTAAGTCATGCAAATGTTTGAGGATAGGAAATTAAGATGTGCTACAGAAATTCCAAACAAACAATAAAATAGAAGAAACTCTAGAAAGGTACTTTTAGAGTACTACTAACCTCAAAAAATATTGTTTATTTACTCACAACTCATGGACTAAACATTACAAGCACAACAATGTCAGCTCAAGATGAAATCCTCCATCGAATCAACCTACAAAAAACAATACTTGAAAATTCATCTAATGCCTACAAGCGACTGGTCCCATTCAGATAAAACGACCTGTGGTTCCAGTGGGAAGCAGTGACCAGTAGGGTGTAGCAGTACTGCTGGTGAGGCGGTAACTCATTGAAGAATACATTGCGAAGTGGTCGCAATATGTCATGAATTGGTAGAAGTTAAGATTCATGGTCTGGCCATTGGATCGGGTGCCAGTGGCTGAATGGTCTGTGACCTCGCCTCGTAACCAAAAGGTTCTAGATTTGAACCTCAGTGGGTACTGCTGAAGAGTCCCAAACTGGGCTGACGAGAAAGCTGTTCAGTACTCCTAACTGGTTTTCCAATGGTTGTCTAACTGATGTCAGCTTATAATGAACTCCTCCATCCAACCAAACTAAATCCCCACAAAAACCAATACTTGGAAACCAAATAGAATGCTGTTCTTACGTTCACCATAATATGACGTACTGAAGATTATTTCATCTTTGTTACACTGTATTAAAGTATAAGAATGTTAAAAACTAACAGAGGATTAGCAACAAGGAACTTCTGACATTAAACTATCCAAGAACCTGTTATCCACCAAACATTTCAAAGAAACTGTAACTAACGGAGACAGCAGTTAATATGAGACATTCAAAATTATTTTTTTTTATTCAGGCAATTGGTTTCAACACTTAGTAGCATATTTAACAGAATAGAATACGCATCTACACTGATCCTTATTTCTTGTTGAGAAATAAAGTCTTTACGTATTTCAGGTGTATAAATATATATATATATATATATTTAATTCCCAAGGGCAGAGAAATTATTTCCCAATTTTATTTGCTCATTACAGACACTTAGAAGAGGAAATACGTAAGCTTACCAAAGTTTCAAATATATTCTGACTGATTATTCAAGCTGATAAAACTCTCGTAGGCTCAGTCAACTGTTTCATCTTATAAAATTAGTGATTGAAGAATTAAGCCAACTACTTATAATCTATAATTGCGTGTAATCAGTATAGTTAACTTGAATTTTTAACATAGACAACCGATTTTCTCTACTTCAATATTTTCTTGTCTTTTTAACAAAATATTTTAACACAGTACATGCAATACTACTGTGACAGGAATAGTTAGCTAAAATAAAATAAATTTAAACACGCTAAGATAAAGTTAAGGAAAGTTGTTGTTTTTTTTTTCATTTTTAACTGAAGCTGAAAGTAGTTCCTAATAAAAGTGCATCTTTATTAGCTAAAAGACTTTTTTCATGGGCTAATTTAATGCAGAAAAAACGAACGTCGTGTAACTGTCAGTCATCCAAATTAAAAATACGAGAAAAACGGAAACAAAATGTTTGCATTCTAATCAGTAAACAATTTCATCTCAGACCTTTCCACTGAGTATTTGCCTCAATTTAAGCATAAAATAGTACCGGAAGTCAGTTAATAG